AGGGCATCTCCGGTCTTTAGCTTCCGCGTGGCCTTTTGTCCTTCTTGATTGTGTCGACGTAACCCATTGAGACGACGTTCATTCTTATAGTACTCAAGATCAGTTTTGGATCTCGGGTGGGATTGGATAGTAAGTGGTGGTGATACAGAAAGTAAGTTATCTCTTTCGATAGGGGTACAAAAGAAAGGACAGAACTTCAAATCGTAAAAAGGGGCAAAAAGCCAAGAGCGCGTGAGACTTTTGATCGCGTCCATACAGAATTTCTCTTGCGTAAATCCAGCGGGAATGGGTAGAGTGGGGAGTTAAGGATGCTTATTATTGACCAATATCAAGTGCATGCAAAAAATAATCCTCTGAGCAGTATGGATTTTAGGATTTAGATATTCTTTACAAGTCCGATTGATAGGTGGGAAAGGCCTATTCCTTAATAGCAGGTTGAAAACCGGTCCCCCACTTTATACCCAGTAATGGAAAATGGGAAACCGAAATCCGAAGACGCGTTGAAATAGCGAAATATGCCTTGCAAAAGTTAAGCACAGAATTAAGAAACAGGAAAATTTCGTTTGAAACAAAGAAAAGAGTAACGATCTCTTATGTAATATCGGTTTTCGTATATAGCAGTGAATATGGCTCCTCACAGATGAAGAAGAAACATGACACAACAGAAATATGGCTCTACAGAAGGATAATAAGAACGTATAAGCAACTGCGAAGTTTTAGAGAAAATAGAAAAAAAAGGACACTTATACTTAACATCAGAAACAGTTGAAATTTCTAAGGTGCTTAATGAGGAAAGAAGGCTTGGAAAATTTGACACTCACAGGACAGATTAGAAGCAAGAGAGACAAAGCAAAGCAGTGCATAATGTATCTAAAGAGCTGTTATGATCCGGTTCCTTGTATCACGGTGATCGTCCAAGGTAGAACCAATAAAGAAGAACTCGAACACGGATATGGAATAACACAGATATATTATAAACAGGAATATATACAGAGAAGTAGAAAGTGTTAGTATGAACAATCAGGTTTAGTGGTAATTGTCTGAACGCGACTCTGTTTCGGACTGCCTCTGACTCGACTGACTGACTCGCTCCCTCTGACTGACTGACAGACTGCTGACGGACCTCACTCTAGACTTCAGACTGAACAGTATTTAGTCACACCCCACGAGGGTATCATGTGGCACAAGGCCGGTTTAACGTGGGATCTCCGAGCCCGTGGGATCGGCCAAAAATATGCCCTTTGAACCCGTATAAACGGGTTCAGGGTCGGTTTACCTCCCCGAAAGAGACTCCGCCCTTCGGCATAGCCTCGTTCGGGATCCTCCCCGCCCAAAGGCAGAGAGTTCAACCGATCAGCCGGTCAGCCGGTCGCCCGACTTTGGACTGAACTCCCTGCTTCCTCTTAAGGCGCAGTATTTATTACGTATGGAATAGTCCATTATGGTATTATGGGTAAGGTCCTATAAGAAGAGCTTATGGTAAATGGTTGACAAAACAGAAATTAGGAGACATAACGAAATGTCAAACGTTAGTGTGGGTTACAAAGAACAGGATGTTGTGAAGAACCATGGTCGCATACGTCCTGAAGCGAGACGACACAGAGAAAATGAATTGTTTAATCATGCTGTAAAAATTGACGCCATATTTTTTTTTAATCCCTTACTATTATTAAAAGGCTTTCAGATGTTAGGATTTAAATATATTTTCCAATTATCAATATATAATAATACTGCGAGGTCAAATCATTACTTAACTAAAAAGAAAGCCGACCCCTAATTTATGACCATTAGGGTATTACAGTAATACTCAGTCAATCAAGAGCCATACATGATACACGCAATCATGTCTCTTTCGATTCCTGAGTAACTAAGCAGTTTTCACCGCAGTAGGTTGCCGTTTCTTTCTGCGTTAAACTGGTTGCAAACCAAGACTATAGGACCCAGTCTATCCTGCTATTCAACCCATAGCTGGGAGGGGTAGAAGACGTGAATTCATGCCTATTCCCAAGAATACGAATTGCTTTAAAAAGATTGACTGCATATTTTCTTTACCCCTTACTATTATTAAAAGGTTTTTACATTTTAGGATTTAAATAAAGTTTTCACGTTCTAATATCTAGTGATACAGATCCAAGTTTATTACTTAAAAACAATTGAAAACCGATCCCCCACATTATGGTCAATAGAATCTTATTAGTAATATTAGATTGCTTAAGAATTACGACCATATCGCGTTGAAACAAGGATGTGCGGATGGTGTAATGGCTCGAAATTGTTAATCGGAGAACAGAGTTCCAGTTCAAGTTGGGTTCGTAATATTCGCTTACACGCAAATACTCTTGGGAAAAGGTATGAATCCACCTCCCCCAGCTATAGGTTAATTAGTAAGACTTTTATCACACAACCATTATTATATCCCAAAATATTCTTACAATTTAAATATATTTTCTGTCCTGATATATTTTCTGTCTTTAAATAACCTGCAAAGTATTAGAGTAGAGTAGTTTTTTTTTCGTCTACCGGGCTGAATATTTGAGAAATCTTATTAGATATGCCCACCCCAGCAGGACTCGAACCTGCGTTCCTCTTGGCAGGAAACACCTTCGTTAGATCCGACGTCTTTTAGACCGGCTTGATCACGAAATGCATCGATGGTCAAGTAAAGTTGAATATTTCCTTATAGACGCAAATCTTTCCTAGACTCGCAAAACATTGATATATGCTCAGTTTCGTATCCTAACGTAAACAAAGCAATTACTAAAGTGACAGATCTTTATTTGTTAATCCGACAGATTATATGACTTAAAATGTGTGTAAATTACCCTATTTATCATCTCTCATTTGTGTCTCTGTCTTTGGGCAGAGTGTGCTCAGGGGTGGTTCCGTCGAAAGACAGAGTCGCAACTGAGGAAAACTATACTGAGAGGTGCCAGCCCTGGGGAACAGCTGCCCGAAGCCGCGCCCTCACATTGCACCGAGGCCAGCGCAATCGACGGCTGCGGGTGCTCGTGCAATTTTTTTCCTAGCCCGGGTGTACGCGCTCGGGCTCCCCATATTAAACCGCTCTTGTGTCATATTATTTAAACATTATTTTTAGCGTATACTCGTATTTGAGTAGACGCTCAAATTTATTTATTAAACAGTATATTTATTTATTTTCGCCTGCCACGATGTTCGAGAAATTGAGAAAGAAAAATATGCGCTCTCCAACAGGACTCTAATCTGCGCCTCTCTTGGCAGGTTCGACTCCTGTCGGAGAGCGCATATTTTTCTGTAATAAGATTTCTCGAATATTCATGCCGATAGGGAAAAACAAAATAAATATGCTGTTTAATAAATAAATTTGAGCATCTACTCAAATATGTGTATCTACTAAAAATAACGTTTAAATAATATATCTCGTGATCTACATTCAGGAACACAAAAGGGATTTGCATTTAGATAAACATTCGAATTCTCTCGTCTTACAGCACCACGATGTGGGACATAACTTTAGATCCACTAATGTCAGACTTATTAAAAAAAAGAACATAACCTTTTAAAGAGAAAATATTATGAAAATATATTTATAGCAATATTATCAACTATTAACACTCGTTTAAAAAAAGCTACATTATGTCGCCATTTTTCTACAGATCCGTTATTTATGAATCTAACTTATCTCTTCCGAATACAAAAAATCAAAGAAGCTATGCACAAAATACGCACGAGATATGCTTTAATGAAAAATCAAACCAAACCAAAATTTTTGAAAACATCCTGCAGCGTCTCACTAACTTTTATACACTTTAACATCCAGAATGTTTTCTTACGCTTACATATCTAATCAAAACATCCTACTGCATCTCACTAACTTCTACGCACTTTAGCATCGAGAATGTTTACAACACATATTTGAATATTATCTGTTACTTCATTACTCGTGACACGTATCTAACCAATGAGAAATAGATTAACACAACATACTATTAATCTGCGTCTCTTTGCTTTTTATCGATTCTATGTCTTGATCTCTGGCGAAGTTTTAATAAAGAATAAATAAACATGTTAGATTAAGATCTGTTTCCTTGTTCTTTATCGTATCATTTTGTCGGATTCCTATCCTTAATCTCTCTCTCTCTCTCTCTCTCTCTCTTTTCAATATATATATATATATATATATATATATATATATATATATATATATATATATATATATATAAGATATATATATATATATGTGTGTGTGTGTGTGTGTGTGTGTGTAGTATGTGTGTTCGGAAAGTATTCAGCCGTGTTCCTCTCTTAACTTTTAAACGACCGGACACATAACCCCACGTTGCGGCTCTATTCTCCCTCGCATCGGTGTTTGCAAAAAAAAAACCGGGAACGGTTCATCCTAGGTTCAATCGGAAAACAAAGGTCGTAATTAACGCCGTGGTGAGAAGTGAAGGCGTGAACCGTGTTTCCAAAGGGTTAATTCAGGGTTTTTATTTGCACGGTCTCGATGGGTAGGTAGGTGAAACTTGGGTCAACCTCTGCTATTTCTTACATGACAGACAAGCGGACCAACTTGTCTCTTCAATCAGCTAGAACTCTCTTTCCTTCCAATCATTCCGACTCTCTGCTAAGCAACTCTCGATGGACAGCCTTTCCCCACTAACGGAGAGCCCAGTTTTTTTTTTTTTTTATATATACTATGGTTTATTCAGTAGAAGAACCAATAACCAATCAAGATAGATTTATTTATTGATTCGTTTTCTACGGCTTATCAACCCTTTGCAGGTTATTTAAAGCCAGATTTTTTGTTTTTAATTTTTAAGATTATTTTTAGATAATAATGACTTACTGATACAAGTCCTATTAAATAACTCATAGCCGGGGGAAGAAGAGGGGGATCCATAATTTTAACAAGGGTATTTGCGCGTAAGGAAATATAACGAAGTTATCTGGAATTGGAACTTGGCTCTCCCATTATCGATTCCCAGGTATTATCCATTACACCACCCGCACATCCGAGCTAACAGCACGTGTTATTCCCAAGTGGTCACTCATCTAGGTACTGACCAGGCTCATCGTTGCTTAACTTCGGTGATCATACGGCAACCGGTACTCAAATTAGATGGTTACTGGGTAAGATTGCTGTATGAACATAAGAGAAGGAAAAAAATGCATATTATAACAATAGATAACTGTTAACGATAAACTTAAAGGGATTAATCACGTGGCCTTAGGTGAAAAGATATGAATTTGGTGGACGCCTGAGTAATTGATAAAGAGGAGTTTATTGGTTAATAAATATTTTCACAATTTTTAAATTTCTCTTTTTTTAGGAGGGAAAATATTTTTGATCATTTTCTGAAACGATCTTTCAAATTTCGTGCCAGACAACAAACATACTTGCCTGATTTTTCAAAGCCTTGAAGCGTGGTTTAGATCACATCACTGATTGGTTCATAAATGCGAATGTGGAAATTTAAATTGCAGCCTACGTTTTGCATAAAAATGAGTTTTTAGTGATATTACTTAAATCTATTGAATTTTTCTACATTTTTAACGGGGTTCCACACATCCACTGCTATTATTGTACTATAGAAATATAGTGAAAATAATTTTCCTATAGAAATACAACGTCGATTATTTTCCTATAGAATTGAATTGAAAACCAGAAAGAAAGATATTTTCAATGATGAGGAAATTATGCAAGCATTATAGAAAGAATATCGCAGAGATATGTATATGCTTTTTGCTTCTAAATGTTTTTTTTAAAATCAAAATTATACCATGTCTGTTCGGAACGTATGCCAACATTTTGAATATTTCGAGAATCAATTGAACATAAACCAATCAGAGAGAAACTTATTGCGCATGCGTGAACAGACACTTTCCGGTAGGGTTACCCAGTCAGCAGTAAGACGCCATCGAGTTTATGTACCGTGTAACTGTTGTATTCACAATGAATGAGTGAGCAGATTATTCAAGTCTCGTTCAGGTCGTCTTCTGTTTGGCAAAACATAGCATCACTCAAACCCAAGGTAGAGCTAAAATACCGTGAAAGAAATTAAATATAACAAAACAAGGCAGCTAATGGCGATCCTGAAAGAGGTGTTTGCAAAATGTTTTGAAAAGTAGGAGGGAGCTTAGGCTAAGTGTGGAGATGAGACACTACGACTATAATTGGGACACTCACTTAGAAGAGGGTGTTAATTGATTGTTTCTCAGTGTTATGTTATTTGCGTTTTTGTTTTGTTTTTTTGCTTTGTTTTTTTTTTGTTTGTTTTTTTGTTTGTTTTTTTTACAACCTGCATTAAAGTCTGCGAAATGGGACCTTCAAAGTAGCCATCCACTTGACTAAAAAAATAATTAATAGATAAATAATAAATGAAAACGTTTGGGAACAAGTGACAACAAACCGGACATTGGAAATTTCCATTCACGGGCTTATGCATAGTGTTCGGAAAGTCACCATGCACTTATATTTTTTATTAACAGACATATTTCAATATAGAATACAGGAGTAGAATATGAATGAAAATTATAAATGATGTTAAAATTAACGCCTGTTAGCATCAAGACATGCTTGGGTCCTTCTAATTTCATTTCCGAACGTAGCCATCAGTTTTTCACATAGAACAAGCTGAATGAACGCTCTTATCGCTGCTTTCAAGTCGTCCAGTGTGCGCGAACGATCTCGATACATTGCAGATTTTGCTACTCCCAGACATAGATAAAAGTCTGGTGGATTTAGATCTGGAGAACGTGGGGTCGTGTGGTTTTGAACACGTCTTTAGAAATAATGCAGTCTGCAAAAATTTTCTGCAAAAACTACATAGATCCCTGAAATGTGTGGTCAGTAGCACCGCTCTGCTGAAACCAAGAATAATTGATAAACAGTCACAGTTAGAATTGAGTGGGGATGAATTATTTTTTCACCCTACGATCTATTTCCCAACAGACGAAACGTTGCCCGCCCCTCACTGCTACATCGCTATTTCTATGGCAAAAGTTCAGACACGCGTCATTTAAGGTATGTTTTCATACCCTCTGGACAGGCTTGGTTTAATTTTGATTTTTAGGAAAACATTTGGAAGCAAAAGGCATATACATATCTCTGCGATATTCTTTCTATAATGCTTGCATAAATGCCTCATCATTGAAAATGTCTTTCTTTCTGGTTCTCAATTCAATTCTATAGGAAAATAATCGACGTTGTATTTCTATAGGAAAATTATTTTCACTATATTTCTATAGTACAATAATAGGATTGGATGTGTGGAAACCCGTTAAAAATTCTAGAAAAATTCAATAGATTTAAGTAATATCACTAAAAACTCATTTTTGTGCAAAACGTAGGCTGCAATTTAAATTTCCACATTCGCATTTATGAACCAATCAGCGATGTGATCTAAACCACGCTTCAAGGCTTTGAAAAATCAGGCAAGTATGTTTGTTGTCTGGCACGAAATTTGAAAGATCGTTTCAGAAAATGATCAACAATATTTTCCCTCCTAAAAAAAGAGAAATTTAAAAATTGTGAAAATATTTATTAACCAATAAACTCCTCTTTATCAATTACTCGGGCGTCCACCAAATTCATATCTTTTCACCTAAGGCCACGTGATTAATCCCTTTAAGTTTATCGTTAACAGTTATCTATTGTTATAATATGCATTTTTTTCCTTCTCTTATGTTCATACCGCAACCTTAGTCAGTAACCATCTAATTTGAGTACCGGTTGCCGTATGACCACAGAAGTTAAGCAACGACGAGCCAGGTCAGTACCTAGATGAGTGACCACTTGGGAATAATACGTGCTGTGAGCTCGGATGTGCGGGCGGTGTAATGGATAATACCTGGGAATCGATAATGGGAGAGCCGAGTTCCAGTTGAGTTTGTAAAACAATGTAAATACGTAACTCTCATAACATAGGCGCATTCTGTTTCTTCTATCATACTAACGCAAATATTTCTGTTGTGATATCAAAATCAAAATATTTTTGTCGAACTTTACAAGAATCTTTGTAATTCTTTTCTTTCAATTTGAAAGAAAGCAAATACTCAATAATAAAAAATTATATAAAATTTGTAGTTATGTTTGAAAATTGTTCCTTTGCTTTTCGCACGCTTGTTTCTCTACATATGCTTATTATACATGTGACAGTCCTATTCTGTCACTACGCTTACATTAATTAATGTATTAATAGTACTTGAGTAGACAGGGCTCTTTAGCTTTGGGTGGCAATGAATTTAGGAGAAAGCCAACTCTGGATTCAGAACAGCGGAAAAGGCAACAGGAACCCACTCAACTATATCTCCCAAGAAATAACGGCAAATAATAAAGCAAGTGATTCTGTGGAGAGTCATAGTCGAATACGGTGTGAAGAGATATAGCATTAATTTCTATAAGAAAGACACGAATCCATCTTTTCTCTGACTAGCTATAGGTTAAATAGTAGGGTAGACTGGATAGTATGGTAGGTACCCAGACTAGGAAAAGGAAAACTCTTAATTAAAAATCTGTGGAGAAGGCAACAGGAAACCACTTCACTATCTTTCCCAATGAGGTCATTTAGAAGGCTATTTATAATAATATAGTAAAGAAATCATTTGTTGAGTCTTGGTCGCTTACGTCCTGAAGGAATATGGCATTAAAGAAAAAAACTGGGTAGAGTGATTTGTTCAAGTTTTCACTCTCTCGCAATCTTCTCCGTTACCTATCGTGACATGTCAGTGACGAGACAATCTATTAATCGTTAAAAGAAGACATTCATGTATTCTCATACTGCTGTGTCCGCGTCCTTGTTGGTCACAAATTATTTTCCACCCTGCAATCCCCCTCCCTCACAGGTACCGCAAGATTCTGTTCTATCGCTGTCTGCATGGGAACTGCCCAGATGAAATATATTCTTCAGTTCCACCAGTTTTAAACTTCACGGCTAAAGCCCCCCCCCCATGCCACATCCATTGTAGCGAACCATCCTCATTACCTTCCTATTCCATTGATGAGATGTAAGTTCCATTCGAGCAGCTTCTTCCCACGAGCTGCTGCTTTATGGAACCGACTCCCAAGATTTTCCGCGATCACTACAATCTTAACCTGTTCAAGTCTAGGGTCAACCGTTATCTTCCCCGCATATACCTATAAATTGTGCGTCTTAATCTGTAATCCTCTACCTTGAGTGACTCTTGATTCTTTTACTGAGTGAACATCATTGTAAAAAAAGATGAATGTGTTTTTATTTTAAATTATGCATTATTTAAAAATGTGTTGTTTATCTACGATATTGAATACCTTTTTATTCCATAAATTCATCACAGGTCTTTATTCACGTAATAATGTTAGTTGATATTTTGATTTTATTCTATATATATATATATATATATATATATATATATATTTAAAACGAATAAAAACAACGAAAAACAAGCCCATTTACATATTTTCCCTATCCAAAATATATGCGTAAAGAAACTAAATATTAAAAAAAAAGTTTTCTGTATTCATATTACTTTTTTTATTTATTTAATATTATTTATGTTAATCTTTATTTATTCATATTTTATTTTCACTGACAGAAAAGAAAACGATTAAGTTCCTAGCTTTAAATGATTTCAACATTAAAATATTGAACTAGCTTGAAACAAACGCCAATTTTACTCTTTCTTCTCTCGCACTTCTCACCTGTGGAACTCCCTTCCGAATTCTTGCATCTCTGATAACTACAATCTTCAAAAATTTAAATGCAACGTCAATCGCCATCTTCTGTCTTCTTGAACCCTGTTCCTTTATTCTTGTCCTTTCCTCATTTCTCTTCACTAACGTTAACTCATTCTTTTTCACTTCCTGTAATCCCCCTGCGTCTTAGTGGCATTATCGCCTTGCTTGGGGTGAAACGATAAAACGATAATCCTCTTAAACCAACCAGTTGATTTGTTAATAATCATTCATTATCGTAAATAAGCACCAATCAAATTAAAACGACGCATAATTTAAGAAAAGCACCATTCAGATGTATCAGTTATCTCCCTTTAATTTTGTAGGTTTGGATTTTTCGGTGAAGTGTAACATTCGACAAAGTGAAGATTCGGTTTAACACTTTCGGTGAAGGCAGTTA